GAGGAGAACAATTGGGCTTTTTTCATGCGTTCCAACGTTGAAGGAAACCCTATCTTTGAACTTTCCAACAAGAAGAGCCACCTAACTTTGGTGGGAGGAGAGCCCAATAAAAATTTTTTTAGAAGTCTTCATTGTTGCCATCAGATATTTCATGGCTTGGTTCTTCTCTTAGGTAGCTGAAAGCAACTCTGACTATCTTAGCACTTATGCCTTAACTATTTTTGCTCTTACTTTAGCCTCCGCAAACTTCCCCTCGATCTTCTGTCATTCTTGACGCTCTTGGAGAAAGATGGTCAACTAAAAATTGGAAACTTTATAGACCACTAAATGATACTTACCAGTCGTTCAACACATGGCTGATAAGTTTTGTTTGAGAAGGGCCACTTTGTAGACATGAGATCAGATAACATCGACAATCATTAGAGGGTAGTGAGATGTCACCAGGGAATCATTATACTAGTCCTTTCAGAGATTGATCAATCCAAACCTGTCATTTGAGCTTGTGCTCACCTTCAAATCTGCATCCTACATCAAAATTTGCCCTTGAACTTCTTCCTAGAAGGGGGAGGAGGTAAGTCACTTGAATCAGTCAAGGATGCTTTCATCTTATGACGATGCTCCCACTCATTACTTCTTGACCCGAGCTCCTCTTAGAGAGATATAGTCGAGTTGACCAGAGAAGAGCAGCTGAATTTATCCCTTGAGAACATATTGATGAATGTCAGATAGGTCGACCAAGGGGCAGTAGTTCTTAATTCTTGTCTTTCTGCCAATACATACACCTCGTAATGACTTGACTGCGCTTGGCTAGCCATCCTTTCGGTCTCTCGCTGTTGCGAGCCCAAAGGACTTATATTTACATTAAATTTTTAGTGGGCCCCTAAAATTTTGACATCTTGTTGAGAAATAGCTTGTTTTTGGTAATTCTTTAAACAAAAAAATATGAGTAAGTTTCACATCTTCTAAGTCTTTTGTAGTACAAACTAACATAGCTTTTGGTCGACCCGCAACACTTATGATTTAAGGGCAAGCAATCTCATAGTGAAAAATCAAATAGAACTTCTTAGCCGCTTGAGCTGTAACCATTGCCTCCCTCTCAGCCTTGAGAGCATCAAAGCCTTTCCACTCCTCTTGGATCATTCAACCAAAAGCTTCTGACTGAAGCACCTAGTTGACAGTCGCCAAATCAAGATACTGGTGGACCAATAGCTGACGCCCATTGACATCTCTAGCTTCCACCAACATTCTCATTAGCACTTTCTTCTTTGCTTTTTGCTAGAGCATCACCAAATGAGGTTTTTTGGATGTACCATCTATGAGGGGACGAACCCAGACCAAAATAAGGTTTCCAATATTTTGACTTATTATCCAGCCCCAAAAGCTGGAATTTATCGATTGAAGCAAACTAAATGAATCTGCCTAGATCGGCCTGGAATGATAATAAATATCACGAACCCAGACCAAAATAAGGTTTCCAATATTTTGCCTTATTATCCAGCCCCAAAAGCTGGAATTTATTGATTGAAGCAAACTGAATGAATCTGCCTAGATCGGCCTGGAATGATATTAAATATTTGCAAAGTTCAACAAACAATGAGATCCCGATCGGTGGCAGAAGAAAACGAATGTCATGATAGCTGCTATGGAGTTGAACATAATCTGGACACGAATGAAGTCATAGTGGGCAAAGATGGTGTTTAACTCTCGAAAAAAGGCAATTGGAGGCCAAAACAAAGTTGATCTTTATAAAAGAGAAGGTCGTCACCATACAAACATCTAACTTGGTTGGTCTCATTAATGACTTGAAGCTTGATGGTGAGATTCGAATACGTAAGTCTCTTGTAGCCGATCGACCACCTCTTCAGTCATCCATGATATATCGTTCAACACAGTTAACCCAAAGCTTTTAGAGAATATTGTGGTGCTATTGAATAGAGCAAAGACAAAGGATTGAGAGAATGATAAGAAAGGAAAAAAAGACAAAGTCAGTGCACCAACCTTACGCTTTTTATATATAGAAAAACAAAAAAGGTTGAGCCATCACACAGGAGCAAAAATGGAACTCTACAAAGGTTTCCAAAATGCTCTGACAGAGAGATCACATTAACACAAAAAATAATACATGAAATAAAATTTTATTCCAAAAATAGATCCTAAAATGACAAAAAAAAAAACACTCAGAAATTATCTTGAGATAAAATAATTTACTACCCCAACTAGACCGAAATTTATTTAGTTGATGCATCTTGAATAGAGCCAAAAGGATCTCTCTTAAATGTTCAACAGTTTTTGAATAAGCATATCCACCTCCTTCTCCATTGTTTCCACTTTCTCCATAAGTGCCAACAACTAACACATTTCTTCACATAGCTAGATCCCCGTCGATCGAGCAAAGGAGCTCTTGATCTCATCTTATTAATAAGCCATTGATGTAGGAGATGTTCGGGGCTGATCAAATGCTTCATCATGTGTTTTGAGAGAACCATCTGGGTGGCCAATCCTGCCATCCTCACTCGAGAGTCATCCACCCTTGCCTACCGTCTATTCTGCTGCCACTGACACCTCAATCAAATTTTAGTTAATGCAAACCAAGGCTGGGTCCTTGATCAAGTCTCTCAAAGCCGAGTCATTTGCATGAAGAGACAATGTAAAGCAAAAGGATTTAGAAAAATAAAATCTAACAAATATAACTGAGGCTCTTCATAACTAGGTGTCGATGCAACTCAGACATCGTAATCGACACAACATCCTCAATGTTCGATGAGAGAGAACTAACACCCTTTTGTGTAGTCTGCTCGATCTGTGGGTCTTATACCACAGTCAAAGGTTTGGTAGTCGGATCGATGGTCATGTTAGTCGGCTAAACGTTCCTCCACTTATCACTGAGGAACGAATCATATGAACCAATCTGATCTAATAGTGAGAGTGCAATTGCTCTTCTCTTCTTAATGAAGGCTTTCTTCTTTTTTTTACCTTCTGAAAGGTCCTGACCTTCAGTTTTCCAAAGGTAAAATGAATCAGATTTTTATTGGGGATTTCACTCGAGGGTTTTGATATGCTCTTCATCATAAAACTCGGAAGTTGACCGCTAAAATGAGAGGAGTCACAGAGCAAATAAAGAATGAGAAGAAGTATTATTATGCCTTATTTATAAGAATCAAAGACAAGAAAGTTAAGGGAGTTCATTATTGAATTATTGATTAATAATAAATGTGATCTACTGCTGTATAAAATTCTCTTATTCTTATCATAACATCATTTTTAAGATATAAGAGAATTAGGAAACTAAAATATGTATATAAAAGTTGTGCCAACATGGATCTTGAGGAGATCTAACAATTCAAAAGGGAGGAATATGATGAAGAAGGATCCCATTGATAGAAAATCATGATGCCTACTTTTTTGACCGAGTGAAACTGTTCATGCCAAGCCAGCTAGGTCAAAGTTGATCGAACCACTAGATGAATCAAAGACGGCTAGAGGATACAAGAATGAGCCACTTAAACAAAAACGTGGAAAAATTATATCCTAGCCAACCACCTAAAGAGTGTCGATCCAAGTGCAGATCCAACTCCCTATGATCTCCAATCATCCCAGGGACGTCACAGGCTCCTCATAAGGGGTCAATGATCGACAACTGTGCCATTTCAATCGACTGACCCATATCGACCAAGCTCAGTCGACTAAACTGATCTTGCCGACATGAATCAGACTATGAATGACTGACTAAGTCAGAAAGTAGCAGGCGACAATCTCATGTATGAAAAATACTAGAGATACCTCAATACAGACCCCTTTAAAGCATGTGCAAAAATGTAACATCTTCATATTGTACCATATCCTCTATAAATAAGAGAATCATTTTATAAACAATGCATGACTGATGACGACGAATTATTGTTCATTACTGTACACTCCTCTCTCTTTCTTTCTCTCTCTCATTACTTATGCTATATTTTTTGGGCGTGATTCACAGACAAATCATATTCAACATATACATAAATACATAAGAATTAGGTGGCATGCATTTAAATGCCCCAAAAACTTAATTCCCATATGTATATTTATTAAGAACTGACTTGATTATTTCTGGATCGGAAAACATTATAAAAATGAGACTTTTTTTCCAATTATTATATATGACAAGGTGAAATCATTACATTTAAAAAAAATTATAAAAAATTTTAATATTTAGAATTGATATAAAATTTTAATTTGCATCTAATTAAATTTAAAAATTTTGTTGATTTCTAAAACTATATGTTCTTAACTTTAGCTGATCAATTATATCATCATTCGATAATTAAATGGTTAAACATTTAATTAATTAATTATTATTTAAGAAATTAAAGCTGATTTTAATATTATTTTTTTCGGATAAGATGAGCGGGAATTTGAGATTCTTCTGCGAAGCCTTTACATAAATACCACCTAGATCATATGTATTTATATATATGATATCTGAATTTTACTTTCTTAAATCTATACCAACCAAATCTTTCATATCACATGACTTTTAAAAAAGTGAAGTACACCTTGCAAATTTTAATACAAAGATAAAATATGCATTTATAAAAATTAAAATTTACGTGCTAGATATATAAACAATGGGGAATTGAGTGGTATGTACGTAACTCTTTCTTCTCCCAATCTTGTCTGGTAACATAAGAAAATATTCTTCCTATATAATTCAGGTGTTATTGTATGTTATTTAAGTATTATTGTGTGTTATTCAAGTGTTATTGATGTGTTATTATGTTATTATAACACCGATAATATTCACAGAACTCAATAACATATGAATAACATATAATAATAACTGAATAACACAGAATAATATGAAGGAGTATCCTCCTGTATTATCAGACCGATTTTTTTTTCTTTTGACTTGATTTTATTGAACTCGAGTGTAATATTTTTTCATTAGTCCAGGGGTCACCACTATAAAATTAATATCAATCAAATCTCGCTAAAAAAGTAATTTTTTAAGATTGTGAGCAGCTCGTTGCCTTTAAGGGAATCCCAGAACAAAATCTCGGCGGTTGTCCAGCGAAAGTTTCGGTTTTTCAATGCTAAGGGGGCGCCGAGCTCCGGGCCTTGCCAGCTCAAACACTTATAAATCTTATTTTATAACCTGACAACGGACCCTCTACTGTAAAAAATATGTGATCTTGAGCAGGTTTCCAAGCAGATCTCTGCAAATAATGTGGTACAGTCATGATTTGGTTTTTCAGTGATTTTCTGCTTCCATTTGTCTGCACCTCCAGTTGTGCTTTCTCTTCAGCTTCTCATCGGTCCGGAACTAGGGCGTTCACAGGTGCGTCTCTCTCAAATTCATTTCTCTTCTGTTTGTTGGCTTAAAATGCGGTTCATTTATTGGGTTTTCGCTGGTTTTTGTTTGAGAATTGTTCGGAAGGAATCTTACTTTAGGACTCTACTCGGGGTAGATCGCGTGGTGATGGTGGTGGTCGGCGATTGTATGGAACAGAGAGAGCGAAGGGCGGTTAATGGGCTGGAAGGTGTGACAGCAGCAAATGGGTGTTGCTAGCAGGGAGGGGGAAGTGCGAGGCTGCAGGAACAACAAGTTTCGTTGCTGTCCCGGGTGGTGGCAAGCTAGAAGGATGACAGGACAATGAGGAAAACAACATATAATGGCTGTTGTGGAAGGCAACAACAAGGGGAAATGACTACGGTAGCGACAGGGGATGTGCTGGACTGCATGACAACAACAAGATGGCTACTTGGGGCGGCGGTAGCGAGGATTGGCAGATGGAAGGTGTAAAACTGTAGGAGAACAACCAGGGGCTGCAGTTCGGGGATGTTGCAGCAAGGGCGGGCGACGAGGGTTAGGAAGCGATGTGGCAAAGATGGTGAAGGATAGGGGGAAGAATAATCACTATCTTGACAGCGAGATATAGCTAAAGTATCACTCCACTCCTGGATATAGTCCTAGATGGGAAAACAGAGACGTTGACGACTATCCCGAACAAACACACGATAAAAACTGAACCATAAGACATCATAAAAACAAATATAAAGTATTAGGATAACTAGGGAGGACCCCACTCCCTTGGAGACAAGCCCTAGGCTAATGGATGGCCCAGCGAACCCTCCAACTTATGGACCGGTTCGGTCCAAGTGGGGACATAGCAATTGTCACACCTATTTGATGCCAATGTCAGTCTCCCAGGGCTCGGGGGAGCTTTGACCTCATATGTCGAAGCTTCTGTTCCCCGATAGTAGGGAGTTAGGTTAACCTAGTTTAAGACAACAAAAATGTCGTAATCTTCCAACAAGTTAATCCTGTAGGCATCGTTATTCAGTTTCTTGAGGATTCTGAAAGGTTCACATGCTTTGGGTTTTAGCTTCCCAATATATCCCACTACAAAATAAATTCTCTCATCTACCCAAGATAACTTTAAATAATGTACGTAATTTTAAGGCATATCCTGATAGAATAAGTAACCACCTTATTTTGGCACAACCAAGTTGGAGCTACACACTAATGAGTCTTCTTACAAACTATGTTTAGAGCCATCAAGTCTATAACTTAATTCTCCCACTCATCATACTCTACTGATTATATATTTGATAAACAATTTCTTCAGAAGGAATCAACTCTGGAATGAAATTTAGGGCAGGTTGGACAACTCTCAACGAAACGACTTAAAAGAGACCTCATCTTTTTTTCTAGAAGAATCTAGACCCCACTGTCAGATGTTATTTCTCACAAAACACATAAGGAAAATTTCAAGGTAGCAATTCACCATGCTCGTTTGGCCATCTAATTGTGGTGGTACATTTGAATTGAATTGAATTTTAATACCCATATTACTCCATATAGGCTTCCAGAAGTAGCTTAAAACCTTCTCATCTCTAACATATTGGATTTCTCTTAGTAGTGACAACTTAGTAGGTAGACTTTATGTCTGAAATCTAAATTCTCTTATTTGGAGTTTTCAAATATTTGGTGTCAGTTTCTCAAACAAATGATCATTTTGGACAACCAGTGTTAGTCCTACTGATGCTCCTCTTATTGCCTGCAAAAAGGTAGTTCACAAGATCACATTTACAAACTTTGCATGAACTCCTATCACATGAGATTCACTACTTATTAGAACATCTATTGTTAATCCTAATGGAGTATCTCTAATGGGCTTAGCTGAATCGCTGATGTCTTTTCTTCGTTGGTTGAACATTGAAACTCCTGTATGAAGCCTTCATTTCTTCTATGTCACTATTGTTTTCTTCAAATACTCTTTATTCTGTGAAAATGATCTCTCTTTGATTTCGACAATTAGATGTCATATGGCCAAAACCGTGACATTTGAATCTCTTATTAGCGGAGATAAATTTGGGAGTGCTGGCAGTCTCCATATTTCTCCACTATATACAGTTCCTCCTCTGGCTGAGTCGGCTTAGGTGTTTACTAGTTGTATTCTTGATATTTTACATGTAGGTACCTGTGCTGCATCTCCTTTTCTATCTTGGACCAAGTAATGATTTTGCATTTTTACTTTTGGTGGGGTAGGTGCTTCAAAATTTTTCACCACTGAAATACACTCTTCTTTAATTTGATGGCGACTAGCTTTGCCATTATGTTCGGGGTAATATTCTTGTATTCAAAGACCTGTTCCATTTCCTGAAGCCATTCGATGAATTTTTCTGGATTGTTGTGACTGTCAAAATTATAAATTCACCTTTTTTTCAAGATCCTTGTTTTTCTTTCTTACGTCTTATGCCAAGTCTTTGGGATAGTATTCTTCATCAGTAAGAACTGTCTGGTGGAAGGGATCCACCTCATTCTTTTGGATATGATGATTCACCATTGTCACTACTGTTGTCTTCTCTCGAAGGTCGCAAACCTTTGTTGCAGTTGGAGGATTTTCCGCTGCATATTCTCCATAGAAAGTTCTTAATTTGCTTTTGACACTTCTTCTCAGTGGCATGACTAGAGTTTATGTTTGGAGGAGGTGAAAGGGGTGGGTTAGAGCTGGAAAGAAAAATTTTGGCTGGTTGATTTGAAAAGTCAAGAAGGGGAAGGGTTTTTGGTGGGATTTTATAACCTTAAAATAGGACTAGAGTTAGCCTAATTGTGGTTCCAAATAATACTGGAATTAACCAACAACTATGGGGAAAACAAATATTACTAACATCAAACAAAAAAAGTAGCACCCTAATAAAACAAAAAATCTGAAATTGCAACAAATAATAACACAAACTCAAACTAGGGTGGATCCTGGAATAATGGTCTTGGTAAATGAGGGTGTGGATCTTCTGAGAGGTAGTAAGGGCTGGTTAATGGGCTGGAAGGTGTGGCGGTAGAAAAAGATTGCTGGCAGCAGCGATGGGGAAGTGCTAAGCTGTAGAAACAATAAGTGTCGTTTACTATCCTGGGCGGTGGCAGTAAGAACAATGGTTGGACAGTGAGAAAAACAACAAATAACAATTGTCTTGGGCGCAACACTGAGGGATTGACGACGACAGTGACAGTAATGGGGGTTCCGATGGACTGCAAGACAACAAGAAGATGGCTGCCTGGGGCAACAGTAGCGAGGAAATGTAGCTCAAAGGTGGGAAACTGCAGAAAAACAACCAGATACTGTTGCTCGGGCCGGCTGCAGCAAGGGCAGGCGACTAGGTGTGATGTGGGAACGATGGGGAAGTATAGGGGACAGGATAACCCACCAACTTAGGAGCGAGATACAGTGGGAGAACCACTCGATCCTTGGATACCATCCTAGACGAGAAAACAGAGATGTTGACAGTTTTCCCGATCAAACACATGATGAAAATTTAACTGTAGGACATCACTCAAAGTAAATCTAAGGTACTCGAATAACTAGGAGGGCCCCACCCCCATTGACGGCAAGCCCTAGGCTAAAGGAGGGCCGACTGACCCCACCCCTCCAAATCCTATTCTGGTTCAGTTTAGACAGGAACGTGATAATCGCTGAGCCTATTTGATGCCCTCATCAATTTTTTTTTGCATGCTTGATAATTTTACTGTGCAAGCTACCATATTTAATTGGTTTTACCATTATATTTTGAAGGAAAGTGTTGGCTAGGCACAATCTCGCCAATTTTAAGTTTGTTTGATGGAATTATCTGTATATTTCTTGCTTTGGTTCTTTATTTATGGGATAGAAAAGAATAAGAGATGTCCCATTTTTACGTGAGAAGTGGAAGTTGCATTGAATTATGAAAACATCTCGTAGCCGATGTCACCACCTAACTGGAAGCATCTAAGTTTTACTAAATCTGATAAAATGGGTTTTCAAATTGGTTATTTCAGCTTGCTCAAGTCCTTCTCACCTCCTAACTATGCATGGTACTGCCATTAAAAATGACGCCTATTGCTCTTCCATCATTGAGGTTGATGCTTGTTATCATCGCCAAGTTTGATGCCTATTTATGCCAATACTGGTCACACTTATCATTGCCACAAAAGCTTACACTTGCTATTGTAACCATGGTAGATGCTTGCCATTGCCATCAACACTTATATTTGTTGTCATCACCAATGCCAATGCTTGCTTTCATCCCTAGTGTATTGACATTTAAGTCGATGTCTATCATCTCCAAGTAGGCAAATTTCCACTTTCAACTTCTACATTGAGGCTCGCTGTAGAGACCAATGTCAATGCCTGCCATCATCACCAAAGTTGACACTCACTATCATCACAAAGGTCGATGTCATCGCCATCACAAAAGCTGATGTTTGTTTTTGCAATAAAGGCCAATGTCTGATGTCGCCACTAAAGCCAATGCATGCCATAACCACCATAATCGGCTTCCACGGTCATTGAAACATTATTGTCCTTTGTTGATGTGAATATTGTCTATGCTCACTATGACGATTGTTGTTGGCACCAATATGAATAACAACGTCCACACGCCGTCATGTAAAATATTGATTTACTCCATCATCATCAATGTTGACACATTTTTACCATCAAATTCGTTGCCCAGCATTGCCAATTTGTTTGACACCGACCATCACAACAAAACCGACATCTAGTGTTGCTAATAAGGCAAACACTCATTATTTATGAGGGCATTTTATGTGATACACATAATTTGCTTGTTTTGCTAGAAGGAAATTATGAATATATATATATATATATATTTGTTGTTTAGCTCCTATCATTTTGATGATTTTGTACAACCTATGAACTTCAGTTTGCTGATTGGGAACAAGAATCATGGTTAAAAATAAATAATTTTTTTATTCTTCTGAAGATATTGTAATTATAATCTAATAGAATTTTATGGTAGTTGCACTTATTCTCCATGTGTTTTCTTTAACACCTATTA